TTTATAATAATTAAGCGATTGAATATAAATTCCCGAAACTTTCACTGCGCTCAGACGATACTTTAAAGAATAATACGAAAAATTCTCGGCCCATAAGATTCACTCTGCGAGAAGATACAGCAACTTCTTCGAGAGCACTCCATTTCCATACGAACATCGCGAGAGTTTGTGAAGAGACGCTCCTACAAAATTTATAATAATTAAGCGATTGAATATAAATTCCTGAAACGTTCACTGCGTTAAAACGATACTTCGAAGAATATTACGAAAAATTTCCAGCCCGTCAGATTAGCTCTGCGAGAAGATACAGCAATTTCGTCGTGGAGCCGTTGATGTCTGAATGAACGAACGTCGGGTTCGATTTAATCGAAATAATAAGGCGAAATGTGTTAAGCGAGGATGATCGAGATAATGGAACGCTCGGCAACGGATTAAACAACATAATGCGAACGCGTTCCGGTAGGACAGACTGTAGGGGTCTCGGGTGTCGAGTAATGGCGTCGGTCGCCACGGCAAGGGCAAACCGAGACACCTTTTACTTCCCTCGACACACTTTTATTTTCCGAACGCTGCCGATTTAGGTATCGGGAGAAACGAGCGTGTACAAGCCTCGCGACCGGCCAGGCGAGCGTGTAATTGTCGATGCCGATCAGACGCAAGCGTTACGTCTGCCTCGTTTTTCTTGCGCAGCTATTCAAGGCGTTGATGTCTCCGGGGCACCATCGACGCAACCCTGAACTGGTTCCGCTGGCCATTATACTAGAAAAATTTCTAATTATACCCGCACCGTGCTTACCCCGCTGAACATCGCCATTTACGCGATCGCATCATCGTTTGTATCAGTGCACGATATCTTGCCCGCGATGTTTTGATGATTACTCTCAAAAACACCTTCGCAAAGTAATCGGACGATCTTCATTAACCAAAGAGTTCTCAGAAATTCAGTGAATCGTGGAACAGAATTTTCCAAACGACGAAGCAACGATAATGTTTGAAATGATTTTATAGATAATCATACGTTCACCTACGCGACGATTACGTTACGTCGAATATTTATTCTGTTGAAATTATTGCGGAAGTTTCTGCAGATACGTGCTTTTCCGAAGACGCTAGACTTTTCTTCTCTCGTCGAGGTCGTCGGAGAAACTATGTTGTGCAACGATCGATGCAACCAATGCAATCGGCGCCGTGCAATTTCTAGACAGCTATTAAAAATAGAAACTTCTCCACCTGCTCTCAAGAACTTTGCTCGTTGCATCGATTGGTTACGCGCCTTGCCGACCCAAATGTAAATCAACTGCGTCTGCAGTCTACATTTCAATACAACAAGAATATACTCCAATCACGGTGGCTGTAAGAAATCGTTCAACCAGTTAGCTGTGGCGCCTCCCTTTCAGAGAGGGCACCCATATGTGTCGCGAGAATCAAGCGGTAACGAGTATACTCGTCGAACACAGAGTAAGCGTCGCTGTTAAAATATTGGATCAAAAAGACGGTTTATGTATAATAAATATAGATAATATAAAATATAAAATATAAATATATATAATATAAAATATAAAATATAAATATATATAATATAAAATATAAAATATAAATATATATAATATAAAATATAANTCACGGTGGCTGTAAGAAATCGTTCAACCAGTTAGCTGTGGCGCCTCCCTTTCAGAGAGGGCACCCATATGTGTCGCGAGAATCAAGCGGTAACGAGTATACTCGTCGAACACAGAGTAAGCGTCGCTGTTAAAATATTGGATCAAAAAGACGGTTTATGTATAATAAATATAGATAATATAAAATATAAAATATAAATATATATAATATAAAATATAAAATATAAATATATATAATATAAAATATAATAAAAATTATATATACAATATAAAATCGTATATCACATGTCCTGATTCTTTTCTAATCTTATTTATACATCATTGTGTGTGTAAACGCCTTCATGCAGGATTGGCCTCAAAATATTCTAAACATCTTGAAATCTGAGAATACCTTTTTGTTTTCACTAAAATTACAATTTAAATAGCCAAATGGCTACTTTTTAGTAGCGAGTATACTCGTCATGGCATAAAATACTGTCACTTCTCCACGACGAGTATACTCGTCGAACACAGCTAACCGGTTAAAAAATTTCCTCGAGCAGAGAACGATGCAACAGGCCCATGAAACCTCGGTTAGGTTTGTTAATCCTGCCCGAGGACCATCTGGCCGTTAATAATGCTCTTCCTGGTGGCGTCACGCGTATCCTCGCAGACGATTGTTCGCGGGACCGCCGATAAACGCCGGCTAATAACATAAACGTGACAACGACGCAATCATCCGACGCGTGTAACTGTTCTCTAATCGCTAAATCCTCTCGGGACAACGTGTTTTACCGGATAGGGTAATTAGGAACGAGCGAACTCGGTTGAGAAACACGCTGGCACCGCGACACGTTCGTCTCCTTTTCGTTATCCAATCGGTGGCCGTGCGCAAACAGCCGTCTTTAGGTCTTATTTACAACCTTGCGATGCTAGAACCTGGGAGAGCTCGGGTTTCAACGGCGGAATTAATCATCCGGCCGCATCGTTTCCTATTATTCATCGGATCGGATCGGCGAGACTTTGATTACGGCTTTGAAATTCATTTGCGGAGACCCACTGCGAAGGTCTCGGCCGGCGACGATGTTCCACTCTTTGAGCTCTATGCACCATCTATTCCCGTTTAAGCTGTTTATTTTCCGCGCGAATAGCCGCTCCGATGCGCGCCAACAAAAATCGCCTACATCATTATCCTAAACAATTTTTGCATCGCCGAACTTGTTTGCATCATTATTCATTGTTCGTCATAAATAATGCGCTATCTGTTTATTCGAACGGATTATTCGCGCAATGCTTCATTCGAATAGGGACTGTCAAATTATTCGTACAATAATGTGAATAATTGTTGTTTTTATGTAATTTGATAATGACATATTTGTACGTACATATTCAGACTCGATTCGATTTCCATAAATTCTAGAATTACAAAATCTATAATTCTATGAGTAAAATTTACATTTAAAATTTATATCTTTATAAAATTGCCATCCGTTTACCCAGAGGTAAGAAATTTTTCGATGGAACGTTTGAACAATATGGAAGAAATAAATCGACAAAAAGTATGCGACCCCAAACGATCATCAATAATAATGCTCGAATATTTTTCGACAGCGACGAAATCATTTTCTAATTGATAGTTCCTACTAACATTGACGAATCATTTTCTAAATGATAGTTCCTACTGACCCTGATTTCGCGCAAAAGAACACTGGAAAATTTAATTTTGACAATTTAATTTTGTTGAGATTGACGAACAGCGACACGCCGTCAGATCTTCAGAAACCGCGCAAGTTCGAATGACCACGGCAAACGATGCTTAATCGAAGGGTGCTGTTTTCAATATGCGCACACAGGCGATCGTAAAAGATTATTTGATCGCCGATGATGAAGCATCACCGGAGAAGCCGTCGAAAATGTCCGATCGCTTGTACGACGATCGCCGAGGCCTAATTTCCTATTAAAACCGACGAGAATGGGTGCTTGTTGGTTTATACGGTTAAAGATAATAATTATGATCGAAGAGGAATAATGAGATAATGGTTGTCGGGGGTATGGATTACTGGTTCTCCTAGTTTCTGCGGTTTCCCCGGCCTGCGAACGGCGCGCTTGGTCGCGCGATCCTTTATTCTCCGGTCGTTCGGACAATTAAAAATAGTTCCAACACGTTCGGCTCTTAGCGAAGGTAAAATTGCCCCGAAGCCTCTCCGACGGCCAGGTATGTATTCGGTTTACAGAAAATTGGAGGTGATTAAAACGAAGTACAGCGACGCACAGATTAAACAGCAAACTACTGTCTTCCTCAATTAATCCCGACGAGCGCCGTACGATTCCGGTTTCCTCGAGAAAAGCACAGAGTTTAGCGTGATCCTACCAGATCTCGTGGATTGCGTGATAATATCTGCGGACCTTCGAAATAATTGCCCGCCCGAAGAATGCCTGAACTTAACGACGCGGAGAGCAGATTCTATAAACTCCGTCGGCCTTCAAATAGAACCAATAAAGTTTAATTGCTGAGAAACACCTCGTGTATTGTTCCACGCGATAAGATGTACCCGATTGTCCTTAAAATTATGTTTCATCGACACGTTTTCCACGGATCTATTTGTTAAGAATTAATCGATGAGAAACGAAGCCGCGATCCCCGTTGCCTCGAACTGTGCACAGAGCCATCTCGAATCGCATGAATCATAAGCGCCGAGAGAGAGAGAGAGAGAGAGAGAGAGAGAGAGCCGAGAGCGGATCAAGTTTACCTGACATTTTCGCAAGGACTCTTCGATCGATGACGACCGCGGTTTTAAACTGTGTCGATCGCAGATCCTAGAGCCGATAGATCGACACCAGTCAGCCCGTTACAACTTCTCCAATCATTTTAATAAATCCCTTCAAACACACACGCTCTTTCAATTCTGCCTCGCACTATGAACTTTCGACGCGCCGCGCTAATGGGCCCAGAGAAAGTCAACTGAAAGCGAAGACAATTATATTTGCCGCGAATAAAATCGAACGTTAATGATAATAACAGCATTTATATTGGGCTCGTGCTCCCAATTGTGCACACTTTCTTTCGCGCTTAAACGTCTGCTTCCAGTTTATCACGTGAATGTTTCGAGACTGATACGAATCGTTGAATACACGTTACGCTACTTTTGCGGAATTAGAGCAGCCTCGGGGGAATTGTATGGACAGGTGACGAAACGGTTACGCAATGCAGAGGTTACATAAAAAAAAAGCCGAGTCAACGACACTCGGGATAAAAGCAGAGTCACTATGACACAATGAAACATACTTGCGCGAACGTAGAACGGTCAATAGCGTACGAAGCATCTTGGACGCGGTCGCGCCGTTGTTTCAACGTGATCCAGGGACGGAGGATCTAATGGACGCCATTATTTTCTGTTCCAGATCACAATAGCGAGGCACAGCAGCACACACGCGGCCCAAATACCCCAGCAGCCGGCGACGTGTGAGTACAATTAGCAGTTTTCTAATTAAACCTCGAATCAACTTTCAGAATTATAGGCGTCTCTCTTTAAACATTGTTTTTTATAATTGTTTGACATAACGTTAGAAAAACATGCACCGTTGTATTCGGGAGAGTCTGTCGAATCATTCTACGGAAAAACCATTCCTGTAACTATTATGGTTGGGGCAGAAAAAATTATCAAAGTTCCAAGTTCGATGTTACGCTTAAAATTAAATTTCATTTGAAATCGTGGCCGATGGAAAAAATAGTTTTCGGGTTCACGATTAATTCGTTTCCTGGCTGGACGGATCGGTCGAGACAGTTTTGATCAGATACAGGTTGAGAAAAGAGTGGAAAAAAAGGAAAGACTAGATCGCGGACGATTTTCCGAGGAGCGCGGTGCGCTTTCTAATGGCACAATGCTCGCCGCGATGACAATGATTCTAGGAACAATAACCGGCCTTATGAACGCGACTAATTAGCTCGACAGGGAGCGGCTGCCTGATTGATCCGGACGGTCAATTAATTACTCCGCGCGGTAATTGCAGGTGTGTCGTTCGCGGGACGACAGAATCGACGATCAATTAGACCGATATCTCAATCTATTTTGGCCTACTTTTTTTCAGTAAATTAGAGGAATTTGAACAGAGTCGAGAATTTCGGAAACTTCAAGGTAGTGGAATAATGTCCCAAACGTTCATGCTCCTTTAAAGTCCATAAGAATCTACAAAAATCTACAAAGATCCACAAAAGATTATAGATGCAAAAGATGCAAAAGATGCAATTTTATAGATGCAAAAAGATCTATAAAAATCCATGGCAGTAATTGCAATAGCTTCAATTAGAAGTATAATTACAATTAGATATATTCAGCAAAAATGATCAGATATTAAACAGACTTTTTAAAAATATTTCTGTACTATCGGTATTAAAATTACCAGGGACAGAAATAAACTTCTATTTAATTCCAGTTTATCGGAATCGACAGGGAAAATTTAGATTACGTACTAAGATCAACGGAATGATAATAAAAATGAACGCGACGGTGATCTCAACGCATGGTCGTGCATCGCGTCGTGCGAGCGACTTCAATGCGTGGCGTGGAGACTTCGACGCATGGTAATACGCGAGAAGCGCAGTGATTTCAATGCATGCTGATACGGATGTCGCGCGAGCGATTTCAATGCCGCTGTCGGCATCTGCCTCTTCCTCGATCATTATATTATCGCACGTAATCGGCCGGCAATTTCTATTGTCTAAACTCTCCTTCAGAATTTACATCTAATGAAACACTCCGAGAAAAATAGAAGCTCGCGAACGCGCATAACACAGAATTTATTCTACTCGTCTCGCAGACTGCTTCGGAATCGTGAATAATATATTCGATGAATTAATTATGGTACGAAATTTATACGGTGTTCCGAATGAATAAATTTTGATCGTGTCGACACGGTGTCGCTTATTTGGGGGAAATAAGTCCGAAGAATAAATTCTGTTCGCTCATTTCGATCATGTTTCAGGTTTCCCTAATATAATTTTAATATATGCAATGTAGCGTTAATCCGTGTAATATAATTTTAATATGAACAACTGTGAAACAACGATGAAGATTCATCAAAATCCGGAACATAAATTTCATATTAATGCGTATACGCAAAAATCAAAATAGTTTTCATTAGAAAATGGATGATAAATTACTTCTCTCCCTCTCTCTCTCTCCCTGTGTGCAAAGATGATCGATATTTACTATACATTTGAGGGTACGAACAATTTTCAAGTAACAGTTTAATAACGATATAGAATACGAATTCGTAGTTTCGTTATGAGTACAAATAAGATATCTATGATATAAACGACAAGAAATCGTACCGGGAGAAACAGTGGATTGTCAGAGGCTCGGATTAACATCGTGTAACAGTATTGAAAACGGTACATAAGCGAGTTTTGCAAGCGTTTTCCGGATCATTGATTGCGAATAACGTGTAAGCCGTTTCGAGCTTATAGCTTATTAAAATTCAAAGCTCTCGTACGAGCAACGAATAAAATTCCGCTTAGCTCCAGGTTCGCCTGTTTATGCAGATCCGCATAAACGTAGTCTCCGTCTAGCATTCGCGTTCCCCGTGCGGATCAGCTCGAAGCCTGTTTATTCGAGCCAAGAAGATCCTGGGAGTAGAGTAAACAAACGCGTACCCTTGACAATCGAGCGATTAATCGAACTCGTTCGGAGGATCCGCGAGAGGGAACACGCCGAGGATGATCGAAAGAAAGGGAAAAGAATGGTCAAGAAAGAGAGGCTTTCCAGACGAGCGACGACCTTCCTTGGAAGACATTGCTTTGCTGGAAGGTGAACGCAGCCGTGCGACCTAGATTCTCGTATGCTCGAGAGACCAAGAGAGAGAGAGAGAGAGAGAGAGAGAGAGAGAGAGATGCGAAGAGAAAGAGAGTGAGCGAGGGAAAAGGAGAGAAGGAGAACAGAGGGAGAGACAAGCGGGACGAAACGAGATGACGATTATAAACGGGAGACGAGCACACGATTTCCTTCTCGACATCGATGCGAATCGAAAGTCCCCCTGTAACCGGCGGCCGAACACTTTCAGCCTTTTACCTTTTACCGTCGGCGCCCCGCCGTCATTTCACCGTCGCGTTACGCGATTTTACAAAGGGTTCTCTCTTTCGAAACGACCATTTCCTGCTACGTGTACCAACATTGTACTCCCACGAGACGAGGCTGTTCTCCGGATCCAAAAAGTGCATCGCGCGAGCAAATCGATACCTCGCGCCACGATTACGTTCTCGTCTATGTTCACCAGCCAGCTGTTGCAATCTCTTCGAAAACCTACTGTAATTATATCGTACACGTTCGATTTTCCTCATATTTTGAAATATGTAAAATACATAAATTAATAACAAATATCAAAGTATACTGCTCGACGAAATTACAGCATAGACAAACTTTCAATAAAAATTAGATAACTTTGACTGACGATAACCTCGCGAGAAATGATCGTAGGACGATGGATTTTTGTTTAAATTAAAGCTTGAAATCTCTACTTTAAGACAATATTTTTAGATCTTGAGTTCGATGCACTATCGCCACTGTAACCCTTTAAATGTGAGGCCATGTTTGTCATATTGAAAATTGCCAAGTTTGAGGTGCGGAGATGCAAGGGTTACTTTAAAGTGCTGTAACTTTCTGAAAAAAAATCGCAGTCGCGTGTCTCTTTTTTTAAATTAAAGGGGGAGGATCGCACTTCATTCTACTGTAAACGGCAACCCCGAAGAAAATTTTACAAAGTCCGTGCACTTCGTCAAACTTGGCCAATGCGAGATAAAACGAACGAGTAAAATCGGCTCGAAGAAACTTCGCGGACCTCGTTCCGTTGTACTCTGCACTTTAGAAAATGGCATCGGTACATTAGCATGCGTAGTCCAGCGACCGAGGTAAGTGGAAACAGGCGGCAATATACAGACAGATCGCGTGATCCACAAAAACCGCTGTCGATCATAGATCCCTATAGAGAAACAAATGCCGAGGGAAGGCGTTCGGAACGATATCTGGGAAGAGAATGTAATGTATGTATGTCACGGTTTTGCTACAGGTTACGTCGTTGTCCCGATCGCTCGATTAATGATCGACGAATCAAAAGCATTCTGGAGCTAGCTCAACTTTTACTTTTAATCGCGTGTCAAACGGTCGGGCGGACGTGGCAAATGGTAAACAGTGTTACGCCTTGAAAATCACGCGGATCGCGATTATCGAGCTGTCAATTATCGCTGACGATTTAACGAACGTGCAGCACGATCTATTTCTCGAGCCGGTATCGTCTTTCGAAAAATATTAGGCTTGTCCGAATATGCTACGAGAAAAATGAATGGAAATTTCTCCGAACATATTACGATAAAAGTAAATAATTTATCGTATAATAGTAAATAATTTTGCGAATATATCGCAAACAGAAATGAATAAAAATTTATCCGGATTCATCGCGATAAAAATGAATCGTTTCGCCGAATATATTAAAATAAAGCTGTACAGAGGTTTATTAGAATACTATAATTAATATAATTAGAAATAATTAGAATTAATTAGAATTAATTAGAATACTATATAGATTACATTAAAATAAATATGAATAAAAATCTATTTGAATACGTTAACATAAATATGAATAAAGATGCATCCGAATACATTAAAATAAATATGAATAAAAATGTATACGAATACGTTAAAATAAATATGAATAAAAATGTATCCGAATACATTAAGATAGATATGAATAAAAATGTATTCGAATACGTTAAAATAAATATGAACAGAAATGTATCCGAATGCGTTAAAATAAATATTAATAAATATTAAAATAAATCTTTTTCGTAAACAAAAGCGAATAAAAAGATCCTAATACACCAGAATAAGAATGAAGTAAAATGTATCCGAAAATACCAGAATAAAAGTGAGCGTACAAACGTAGCGAGTGATTAGCGTGGCCCGTATATGGCCCGGACACATCACTTAACGTGTCGTCGTTGAAAACGCTTTTCCCGCAGCTCGCGTGCTCGAGATTCTAGTAATCGGAAGCGACGATCCCGCGACGATCCTCTACGAAATGAGGCCCGTTGTAGTCATTGTTGATCCAGTGGTCGCCTCTGCAGTGTTTGCTCTCGAAGTGAAACCGCGCCTCGAAAGAAAGTGGTTTTTTTCCCCCGGGTTCGCGCAGCCTCGCATGCGAAAAAGAGTTTCATTCTCTCGGCGGCGGCACGCTCGTTCGCCACCGGGGCCATTATTCTCACCGTGAAGCATTGTCTTCGTCGTGTTTATAGGTTCTGCGGGCAGGCACGGCCGCCACGGTAAACACATTTGACACAGTCAGCAGGATTCAGCTATCTCGAAGACTGTAGAGAGAATTAACGAGCCCGCGGGATTCGCACAGAAACCCGCATAAATCGGTTAATTAACGGCGAACTTCGCTCGATGACTTGTGATAATTGATTGGGAACCT